CTCTATACTCATTACAATGGCATGCTCTCTATACTCATTACAATGTCATGTTCTCTACACAAAGACATGCTAGCTATACGCAGCATATAGGTATGGTCTCTGTACATTGAGGTTATTGGTTGAATACTTGCTTACCGATAGCAGATATTGACACAAGTCTAGCTCGTATCGGCCTAACATCCTGTAGGACCACTTTTTAATTGACTGGAGATATATTCACTTCACAGACCGCGTTACATAATTGATGTCGTCTGCTTTTCGAAAGCAATAGTTCAAAACCAAAAGTAGATTTTGTTCTCCCAGGAATTACATGCCATTGGTGATATGAAGCTCAACGAAAAGGAAAACAGTATCGGTCGCAAAAGAGATCATCTGATGAAGTCAACCATTGCCATAGTTAAATAGCACTAACAGTGATACATACATGTAAAGAATAACATGAGAAATATGTGTAACACATATCTATATACATAGAAACAAAATCCCAGATGGTTTCACGTTGTTGTTAAAATGGTTTCGTTAGTTTGCCCGTAGCCCGTTTGTAAAGGCATTAAATTAAAGCAGGAGACAAAAAGGAGGTTAGATTACAAAGCCTTCAATACGCAAGAATAGAGCGACACTGTTTGTAAAAATGAATTATATTTATTATATAACAATTATTTATCATAGTTATGTGCTATAACTATTATATAACCACAACAAATTGAGCAAATAGTTAATATCTGTACAATATTTACAAGGGGAAGCCTGCCGATCATGTTCTAATGATTAAAATCACATTAATGAATAATTCATATATCCGTACTATATTGTTACTACTAAAATACAAAGTATTACAGAGCAACGAGCACCGAACATCATTAAGTGGTGAGTATTGCTGACATGTATCATAATATTTACATGTTTCAGTTATAACATATACGTAGAATATAGGATATCATAAAGTAGCAAAACTTACGTAGCATTATCACATTTTTTCTACTAATTCACTTGAACTCACGCCTTGTTGTAGTCCGGTTTCGAAGTGACTATTTATCTCTGTAATATGCTGTGGTATGTAAGTGTTTATGTGTTCGTCCTCAAAAAAGGTGAGGATTGCCCAAGACAAAGACCTTTGTCTGCACTGCCACTAATAATTCTTTACTTATACATGTATATCTATCTAAGTAATACGTATCCAACGAACATTTGTTTCCTCGGATCCAGTGTCCATATTGGATCATACAGTCGTTATTAACTACGAGACTTATATTTAAGATATGAATACATATAGCGACTTTTCCTGTATAAACTAGAAATATTGTAAAAGCATTTTGACATGCATCTCGCACTTTGATGGAAAGTGAAGAAAATCAACTGCCAATCGTGAATGCAAGCACTACCGGGAGAATTATAGTCAAAATCACAATGGAGGCAACAACGATTCCAATGATAAGACTCTTGTGTGAAGTCAGCCACGTACTCCGTCTATAACTGACAATTTCTCCAGGTTCAATGTCCAGCGCTGTAGTACTTGTGTTAGTCGTGACATTAGAACGTTCTTCGATCGTATCCACTGAAGTAGGCGGGTCCCTAGTGTCATCATTGTGTGATTGTAAGTATACACCCGGCGAAGAATTCACTGTCACTATCAAATTGTTGACATCGGCATCAGCTGTGTAAGAGCTCTTGACATCACTGTTTGGTACTTCTTCATCAATCCCAAAAACGCGTTCTGTGTCAATATCCTTACCTTTCACAAATGTTGGATTGTCGTGGCCCTCTGTAGGACTCCCTGTCATGGAATAACTCAAGCCATCAGAATTCCCTATCGACGGTAGACCGCGAGGCGGTGCGTTGTAATTTTTTGTTGTGTCCTTAATGTAATTGTTGAAGTTATTCGACTCTGAATGTCGATTGTCAACAGGAACAACATTGTGCGGGAATACTGGTATATCTTCTCGTTTCAATTCAATTTTTATAGGAGGTAAGTTATAAACAGGCACTGGCGGTTTCACTGTTTTCGGTGGTGATGGGTCACGAGTAATCCTTTTCTTTAACCGCCTCTCTTTTCTCCAGGCACGTCCTCCTGGGTTACCTCGTATTTCTATGTCCACTCCTTGGTTATCCGTGGTGAATTTATTTGGATTTACCCAACCTTTCTTTACCTCAATTGTGTAGTCAATAATCCCCAACTCTTCGGCTGTCCGGAATACCCAGAGCCGACGATTATCGCCAGTATACCAGTGTCCATTTCGGAATGTAACAGTCATCATTGGTATGTCTTCATCTCTACATCGGCCAAACAAAAGGTCATCGAGTGTCTCACCGATAGGTCGGCCACAATGGCTTCCATAGCTAAATGTACAGGCGATACTGTCTTGACTATACCTTATTTCAGAAGGACTAAGATACATGTTCCTGGTAGGTATTTGATAAAAGAGATGTTCAATGTTAGTCAATATGTCAATCTGTTGATTTGTGATTCATGAGGGTGTAACTCTCCTAGACTCTCCAAACGGTCGGCAAAATGGTGACGTAGTGACAGGTTTTACCTGTTATCGGATCACCATGATTGTGTGCAACCTTTACATCTTTGTATCTAATTTTAGCCTGCATTATGCCTACCTGTGCTTTTCCACGAAAGACTTTTACTTCTATTTTCATTTTCCATACGTGATATAGTATCGGGTGATTTTCTTTAGTTTTCACATTATCCTAACAACCGTCGGTTTCTTGCAAATCATAGATTTTAATGTATATTTTTTTACTCGTTCATTGCGGGGTTTACAAAAGCAACACGTACTATACCGTCATTATAATGGTGGTATTATGACATATTTTCATGACCTGTATATGACTATCGGCATCACACGAGGAGTTTTCGATGGTTCAAGTAATCATTTTTAAGACCCAATACTTGTGTGATCATATGAAGTTGAAGGTAAATCATGAAATTAAAAAGCAGTTTTTAGAAAGTGGAAAGTCTGATAGCTAACCAATGAAGATACGTATATGTAAAGGGATAAAAGCAAAATCAGTCAGCAAGGAAGGAAAGACATGCAAAATATCTGTGTGTACATCCGTAGTGGAAATATTAAATATATGACAATGATCGCACCCTTACGAATAGATGCATTATCACTCCCACTTTACTTTCAGTAACACCCCATTATAGGTTTTATTTGTTTATATGCAGGCAAACTGCCTCACTGAAAGTATATTTTTAAATAATTCACATTACATAATTCTTCTCAAAACTATTGATACAAGTATTTATTCTCAATTGGAACAAATGAAAGCGGCACGATGCCATCACATATATAATGTTTTTTTGAAACTCAATGCACATCGAAAGTGAAAGTTAGATCGGTAACGTAAACGTTTATTATACAAGGGCATACCTTAACCTATACCTATATCTATGAATTCATATAGAAACTATCAATTTTAGGAACTCTGTTTGATAGCTGTTGTAGACAAACAACTTGTCGCACAGGTAACCCGCTATATAGGAGGAATAACCGATGAAAGACGAGAAAACCAAAGTTGTGGTACTGGTAACCCGCTATTTAGGAGGAATAACCGATGAAAGACGAGAAACCCAAAGTGGTTGTACAGGTAGCCCACAATATTGAAGCTGAACTGGTGTACGACAAGAAATCTCAAATAGTCGTTACGGTGACCTGCTATATAGGAAGACTGGTGTTCAACGAGAAAAGCCAGGTGGTTGGATAGGTAACCCGCTATATAGGAGGAATAACCGATGTAAGATGACAGAAACCAAGTAATCGTACAGGTGACCCGCTACAATGTACCTTTTCACGTCTTATGCTCCCATCGGCTGTTTTGACAGAAAACACGTGTGTTTTAAGCAACTGCTTTTATCTTCGATGTTGAGAAACTTTCTAAAATTAACACTGATATGGTCGGATGTGTCATAATTTCGATATCAATGGTGATCGCGCTCAGAATTTCTACCATAGTTCTATATATATTATTTACTTAAAGTGCAAACATATTTGCCATATTAAAGGTTTTGTTAAATTTGAAATATTTTGCTATGGAAATCAACAAATTTATATTGTATTCCTATAGAATGTTTCGGGGTTTTTTTCGGATTTCTTTCGTCAACTGTCCCCAAAGTAGAAGATTTTACTGAATCCGTTTTATATCAATATGTCGGTATAAATATGCAGCATTTAAGAGTATCCACCCTAACAGTATATTTTCTATTTTGTGTATACTCTACTGAGCTAAGTCTGATAGCAGGAAGATCATTATCGCTATGGACCAGGTCCCAGGATCATGAACCAATCTTAAGACTAAGTTTGTCTTAAGTTTTGACTGATAACACCCACAAATAATGTCATGAAAAATGACGTCATACGTGATTGACTTAGCAAAAACTTAAGTCTAAGATTGTTTCATGATCCCAGAGCCAGCTCTGTTGTTCCCTTGCATTTTCTGTTAAAATCTGGATATCGGATTTTTGT